CTGGACTGTGTTTATCATTACCATTTTTCATTTTTATGAGCGCTGCATTTTTTATCTATGCATTTATAAACATCGTAAGATTGAAGTGGTTATACCAGGATCATGGCTGAGGCTACAACTAGGGTTGGGCTTGATGTTCGAGTCTAACATAAGTTCGTATAGAACATCGACCATTCATGTGTTCACCTGTTGCGTCCCACGATGCACTGCACCCTGACAGTACATTGTGATTGGCCAAAGCAATGCACCTGAGGTCAGGTGCAATGCTTTGGCCAATCACAGTGCATGACGATGTCACAAGAGGGCGGGCCCCTTGTGACATCATCACATTATTTAAGAACTGTCAGGCTGGTGCAGCTGTCAGACGGAGGGAGCCAGCATAGAGAGCAGAGCATTTTTTTTTTTTTTTACTTTTTTCAGGTTGACAGTGGTGGCGGGCATAGTGCTTGACATTGGATCTATTGGATTTATTTTTGGTTTTCATAAAGGACTTGTCAAAGACTGTCTTCTGTCATTTTTTTGCACTATACTTTTTTTTTGTGAATGAGTAGCGGTACCATGTACTCCATACTCATTCACATGGGGTGGTCAGGATATGGGACCCCCCTTGTTAAAGGGGGCTTCCAGATTCTGATAAGCCCCCCACCTGCATAACCCCACAACTACCGGCCATGGTTGTGGGGAAGAGGCTCTTGTCCCCATCAACATGAGGACAAAGTGCTTTGGGGATAGGAGCCCCCCCCGCCTCAAAGCACCCCCCCATGTTGAGGGCATGTGACCTGGTTTGGGTTGGAGGGGCTATCGCTCGTCTTCCAGCTTTCCTGACCTGCCGGGCTGCATGCTTGGATAAGGGTCCGGAATGAATTTTGGGGGGACCCCCACGCCATTTTTAAAAAAATCTTGGCATGGGGGTTCCTAATTACTAATGAAGTAATAAAGTATCCATTAAAAATGCTAGAAAACACTACTTGGAGCTCAGAACTTTAAGAGGACACACATAAAAATCTTTTTTAAATGTGCTGTTTACATATTTTCAGACAGCATTTATTTGGATGTACTTTTTGATGGGAACAAAATCAACATTTCAGTTTTAGGTCTGGATCATTGCTCATCGCAAATATGGACCAAGTTTTTGGTCTCAAAGTGCACCAATCAATTTTTGTATCTCTCACACAGAAGAGCCAGGGACAGGAAAAGGTGACACAGAATCATTCCCTGTCAGATACTGCTGGCAACCTTCCTCCTCGCGAACAACAAAACCAACCAACAAGGCATAATGATTACCCCTGTTGAGAAGATTTCTCTTTCTCTCCTGAAGACATCTCACCCACTAAGAGTAACAAGGACACCATTAAAACACTTTTTTTTAGCAGAGTAGGGAAGGATTAGAATGTCTCATATTGTATGTCTGTCTGTGTCCCTACTAGTGGATGTATCTTCATTCCATATCATGTCTCAAAGACAAGAAATAAAGATCTTGCCTCTGACATCGCTATAGTTCTTGGTGCTTAGACTCTTAATTCAATGATAGGATCTTGAAGAGATGTTCAATCCCCTGGCACTTTTCATCTTAAATCTATTTGCAATGCACCCAAAGAAACTAATTATATTGTGATTTAGGTTTCTCAACATAAAATTAGTAAAAAAAAACACACATAAACATAAATAACAGAATGAAAATAACATTTACTTAAAAGATGATAGGTATAAGTGTAGCCTGCGCAGAGGACTAATTAATTAGACTGGCTGTGGCTAGCAAAACCATAAATGTGTAATGGTGAACAATTGTGTGAGTACAAACATAAATGTTGCTGCGCTGCCTCTACTGAAAAGATGTACCACCCTACTGACATATAGGGGCCCCACAGATGTGCGTATTCTTCAATGCACTGAAGTATATGCACATCTGTGGGGCCCTTATATGTCAGTAGGGTGGTAAATCTTTTCAGTAGAGGCAGCACAGCAACATTTATGTTTAAAAGATGATAGGTTACAGTAATAACAGTCTCAGGTCTCTCTCACAGGTTTCATCTATCCCAGTGGATGGGCCAGAACTGCAGATATCACTGCAGGCTGCTGAGTTTTCAATGGTCATGATGGCATTTTTCTTATCATAGACTGCCTTCTGAGCATACTTTTGAGTTTTGGTCTTAAAAGCAACAGTTCACCAGCTTCTTGGAGGCAGTCAGGAAGCTTAAAGTATATGTAAACCCAACATTTCATATTATTGATATGCACATGCTGTCCCATGTATGTGTATGAAAAAAGTACCCTGTTCTCTTTGTATTGACTCATTTTTGTGAAATCCCTGGTGTTCCTGCCAGTCCCTTTGCTTACCTAGTAAAAATCACCATACTAAGCAAGAGAACACGCCATGGTCAGTTCTCTGGCTGTCCTAGGAGCTAATCCAATGATAAGATTTGTGCTGACAAGCCCACCCCCCCAACACACACACACACAGCCATTCACTGGTCATTTTTGGGGTTCTCTGTCTTCCTGGACCCCGCTCTGAAAAACCTCTGGCCAGAAGAACCCTCAGGCTGCAACCATAAAATAGACTCACATGCAGTTTAGAGTGAACTGATATTTTGGTTGTAACTTCAAGTAAGGGTCACAACACAGCAAAATCTAAATCAGTTCTAGATATTCTGCAATTCAGAATTTAAGCAGCATTCCCAGTCCTGAGAGGTTTCCCCAAAAAAAAACTACCATACAAAGAGGCTAGCTCACTTTGGGCTCTCAGGGGCTGATGACTGGGTTTAATTATGAGGAAAGAAGAGAATAAGAGCTCTTGAATTTAAGTAGGCCACTGTCCCTTTAAGCTGCTGTATCTGATCTTCTGTGTGCTCGATGGGGCCCTAGTTGATGCACATAAGGATTCAGATTTTCCTTGAGGCAAAGATATACATTTCTTAATAGAGGGTGAACACAAAGAAAAAGGAGCTGCCTCTTTAAGTGGTATTTAATTTGGGTGGTAACCCTTTAACACCTGCAAGGTAAGATGTAGAATTAGGCAGAGATTAGTGAATGGGCAAAATATGCCTCCATAGTGATTGGTTCCTCTTTGGACTACAGTAGCAAATGTGGCAATGAAGGAGCTCCTTGGCAAAAGGGAGCCGATTGTGATGGAAGCAATAATACAGCTTGACCTACGGAGCACAGACACTGCAGTTGGCTCTTGTGATTGGATATGCTGAGAGTGTAATAACTAGTAGGCTGGGTGAACTGGGCCTTAACATGTGTAACTTGGCAAAATAGCGTCACTCAAACTGAATAGAAAGTAGCTGAATTGAGTAATGTCATTTACAACTTAAATGGCTTGAGAATGAAGCTCTCTCACCTTATTCATGGCCTTGATCATGGGGCCCCCGTGTTCTTGTGGTTTCTCCTTCAGAGATCACTCGGGACGGCAGCATTCCAGTCTGCCTGCTCGCAGGGCAGCTCATCAGACTCATCAGTGGTCAGCAATTCCTCCTTTTATAGCAGGGTGTTACAGAAGAGTGGTGATGTGTGGTAGAAACTTCCAATGTTGGGCATAAAATGCCATGATAATACAACCCCCCCAAATGACTCCTTTTTGGAAAATAGACACCCCAAACTTTGCTAAGAGGCATGTTGAGTTAATGGAAGATTTTATTTTTACCATTAAGTTTTTGGAAAATTACAAAAAAAAAGAAAAAAATCACACTTGTGGTATCTCCATACTCAGGTAAATTGTAGCAGAATGTAATTTGTGGTGTATGTCCACATATACCCACGGCATGTATGAGCAATATATAATTTAAGTGACAAAATTGTCATATTCCAAAAACTTGTGGAAAAAAATTAAACCTCCATGGACTCAACATACCCCTCAGAAAATAGCTTAAGGTGTTTACTTTCTGAAAAGGGGTCATTTTGGGGTTATTTGTACTGCCCTGGCATTTAGCACCTCAAGAAATGTGATAGGTAGTCAGAAAGTAAAAGCTGCATAAATTCCAGTATCTATACCATAGTTTGTAGATGCTATACTTTCACACAAACCAATTAATATACACTCTTTTTTCTATTCATTCATATTTGTGCTATTCATTTTGAAAGCCACCTCAATGCACTAAAACAATTTATATGCATTACAGCATGCTGCAATGCATCATAGTAAGTTGCAGTGGGGTTGATTTCCTAAAACTAGAGAGTGCAAAATCTAGTGCAACTTTGCATAAAAACCAATAACCAATCAGCTTCTAACTTCAGCTTGTTCAATTAAGCTTTGTCAAACAAAACTGGAAGCTGATTGGTTTCTCTGCTGAACTGCACCAGACTTTGGATTTTCAATGGGCTATCTAAAGAAAATGCACATTATGTGACAAACAGCATGCTAATGCATGTACATGCTTGTAAATTGGCAATGAAGCATTATAAGGCACAGTACATTTTAATTTATTCTACTGTTATTTAATGTTTCTGAGGATATACCAGTAATGTACCCAAGAAGTAAACTGAATCTTTAATTTTATGCTTTTTGGATTTATTTGAGCTTTTATTTATTTATTGTTTTGAGGGGTTTTTAGCACATGAAAAAAAATGTGAAAACACGGTTTTTACAATTTTCCATCAATGTTCTTACTTTTTTCTATATTTTTTTGGTGTATTCTGTTATATTTATTTTGTGTTTAGAGAAAAGCAAAAATAAAACAAGGGTCGAAGGTTTTTAAGACTTTTTCCAGACTGTCTCTTAAATCTTTCAAACTGATAGTTGGACTAAAAAAATAAATAAATACCGTATATACTCGAGTATAAACCGAGTTTTTCAGCACATTTTTTGTGCTGAAAAAACGGCCCCCTCGGCTTATACTCGAGTCAACGTCTGCAGATGGCTCCCCCCCCTTCCAACAGAAGGGAAACTAAGTACAGGGGTGGGCAGGGGGCTGCTGTCTCTTACCTGGCTCCGGTCCCACGACGATCCGGTCCAGGAAGCGCGGCTGCTCCTTCATTCGGTTCATCCACTGGATGTTCGCGCGGCTGCTCGGCTCCGCCTTCTCACCGGTGATTGGCCGCCAGAACTGTAGCTCAGGAAAGGCACACAGGCGGCCAATCACCGGCGAGGAGGCGGGCCTGAGCAGCCCCGCAAAAATCGAGTGAAGGAGATGCAGGTAAGTGTGCCGTGCTTAGGTGCTGCTGCAACCACATATGCTGGCTGCAGCAGCACCATACTGGAACCGGGGTCAGCAAGTGTCAGTGGGAGGAATAGTGCCCCATCATTGGTGTCACTGATACCAATGTTGGGGCATTATTCCTCCCACTGACACCAACGATGGGGCAATTTTCCTCCCCCCCACTGACACCAACGATGGGGCACTTTTCCTCCCCCCCACTGACACCAACGATTGGGCACTATTCCTCCCCCCCCACTGACACCAGTGATGGGGCACTATTCCACCCCCCACTGACACCAATCATGGGATACTATTCCTCCCCCCCACTGACACCAACGATGGGGCACTTTTCCCCCCCTCACTGACACCAACGATGGGGCACTATTCCTCCACCCCCCCACTGACACCAATGATGGGATACTATTCCTCCCACTAGAAATTCTGAAGGACCCTCTGCACACTGGTATATACCCTTTCAAGCAAACTATGCAATAAATAGGGATATTTGGTTCACACATATTGCAATACATGCTTAAGCTGGCCAACTGCGTCAAAGTAATCCTTCTATGGCCAGTTCTACTCTGCTCTGCCTACGCAAGTGCTACTGTGGACACAATGCTAGCATAGGGGAAGAGACACAATGGGGAGAGCTACAAGGTTCAGGTGTGGCTACTGACCCAACAATACAACAAACAAGAGATCCCTGTGCTCAAATCCATACAGCTAGTGCATGCATTTATCCATCAGGTGCTAAAGGGGTGTAGAGTAGGACTGGCCATAGAGGGATTACTTTGACGCAGTTGGCCAGCTTAAGCATGTATTGCAATATGTGTGAACCAAATATCCCTATTTATTGCAGAGGATCCTTCAGAATTTCTAGAGTTAATGTGGTTACACCCCTTTAGCACCTGATGGATAAATGCATGCACTAGCTGTATGGATTTGAGCACAGGGATCTCTTGTTTGTACTATTCCTCCCACTGACACCAATGTTGGGACACTATTCCTCCCACTGACACCAAAGATGGGGCACTATTCCACTGACACCAATAATGGGGTGCTATTCCCCCCACTGATACTAATGATGGGGCACTATTCCTGCCACTGATACCAATGATGGGGCGCTATTCCTCCCACTGACACCAATGATGGGGCGCTATTCCTCCCACTGACACCAATGATGGGGCACTATTCCTCCCACTGACACCAATGATGGAGCACTATTCCTCCCACTGACACCAATGATGGGGCACTATTCCTCCCACTGATACCAATGATGGGGCACTATTCCTCCCACTGATACCAATGATGGGGCACTATTCCTCCCACTGACACCAATGATGGGGCACTATTCCTCCCACTGATACCAATGATGGGGCACTATTCCTCCCACTGACACCAATGATGGGGCACTATTCCTCCCACTGATACCAATGATGGGGCACTATTCCTCCCACTGATACCAATGATGGGGCTCTATTCCTCCCACTGATACCAATGATGGGGCACTATTCCTCCCACTGACACCAATGTTGGGACACTATTCCTCCCACTGACACCAATGATGGGGCACTATTCCTCCCACTGACACCAATGATGAGGCACGATTCTTCCCACTGGTGTTCCCACCCTCGGCTTATACTCGAGTCAATAGTTTTTTTCCCAGTTTTTTGTGGTAAAATTAGGTACCTCGGCTTATATTCGGGTCGGCTTATACTCGAGTATATACGGTAGTAAAATAAGTTGAAATATGCAGAAAAAGGTTTTTTTTCTTTTTAAAGAATAGAATTAGTTTTTTGTTTATAACATATTGAACATTTTTATTTTGTCAACCAGAGATTTTCACTGATTAAGCCTAGTATAAAACGAGTATATGAGATTCATTCATTACATGTCATCATTCTCCTTTCTCTGTATGTAATCAGGGGCCCTGTGTGTAAATTACAAGCCATTCAAACAATGCTCCATTGATAAAACTGATTTAGAATTATAATACTTTTGAATGTACACCTGCACTGGATTTACTACTCTCCAGTTTTAGTAAATCAACACCAAAGTCTTATTCACAGAGAAAGTAAAATAAAGACATGATAAAAGAAATATATGTAATAGTTTTATACTAGAATTACTCAGTGAATGGCACTTGTTGTGATAACAAAGCAATTCATTGGTGAAAAGATGGAAAAGAGGAAGAAGCCTTTGCCAGCTTGACAAAGGTATCTTGCTAAACGCTGGGAGTGTGGGGGATACTGGTCATGCAAACCTGGTAGAAAAATTGTTCTGAAGCAACAAGGACTGCTTGGATTTATCTTAATATATATCCAGGACAAAGAACAATTAAGATTTTTATGTAAAGTCTCCACTGTACTGTGGGAAGGCTTAAAATACTCTTTTTTTATTCTAATTTAGAGTTCTAGTACAGCAAGATGTGATTAGAGGATAGATTTCATCAAATGCAAACCCTGCTAATTTTGCTTTGAAACCAGATTCAGCATAGTTTATCTCTTATGCCTACTGCTGAATATGTGGTAATGTTTTTTCTTTTACTGTAAAAGAAAAATATTAAAACTTTTAACAATAAATTTTCTACCCTCTCCAACTTTGAGAACTGGTTTATTGGTCCTTAGGACAAATACGTGACCGTTGAGTCCAGTGGTGCCACAGGGATTCCTGGGAAAATACCTTCACTAATTTTCTTGCACATTTAAAACTATTCCTATGTTAAGATTCCACTAAAAATGCTGACTGTAGAGTCATTGATCTTTTAAAAATGTATACAGATAATTACAATAAACAATTATCCTTTCATAAATGGAACCTGTCTGAAAAATACAGGTTCATTACTATAGAATGCAACCTCACATTTGGTTCTAAAAAGCAGCTACTGTACTTTAAAGATACAATGTCACTTGCAAAGGTCACTTTTCACTTGAAAGTGCCCTTTGACCCTCCCATTTTGTGGTGTATTCACCAGTCCATATTCCTTTACCACCTCACCACTGCAGCCATTTACCCTGGGTAAGCTACAGTGTCAAATGGTGTCAAAGTTTACTTAGGTAGATGACTTTACTGACTGACCTAGGTGCCCAAGCTTTGGCCTGTCCTCTCAGGTCTGAGCACTGTCACATAGAAATAGTCACTGCTCTCCCATGCGTAGAAGCCCCACGAAGTTAGAACAATGGAGCAAGGTTCTCTACAAAGCACGAAGGTGGCAAGGGAGTTTGGATAAATAGGTATACATGGCTTGGGAGTGGTGTTGTCAGTAGACACTATCTATGGGGAAAACATTTGCCAACAGCACTTCACATTATAAATGCAACAAATGTTGTTAGTCAAGTGGGGTTGATTTACTTAAAATATAACTAAAGGCAAAACGTTTTTTTTCATTTTGGACAGAGTGGAGAGGGAAATGAACACCTTTTAGGTTTTTATTGCTGCCTGTGTCCCCATAAGGGAGATTCAGCCTCTCTATTTGTCCTGTTTACCACTATCATTGAAAGTGAAAGTAAAAGAAACCCTAATTTTCGGGTTGTCCCCAGAAAAGTACTAGGGGGGAAATATTCCAATGGGGACACTTGTTCTGGTGACCTGGGGGTCCCCAAGGAATTCTCTTAATTTGCAGGGATTTCTCTCACTTCCTGTTTTGGCTATGGGACAGAAAGTGAAGGTTAATCTTCCCAATAGGATACAGATGGCAAAACATAAACTGTCAGGGGTTATAACAATCTCTTACTTTATCCAAAATGAAAAAAAAATATTTTGTCTATAGTTCGACTTTAAATGAGAAGTACAGCCAAAGCTCTTTTGGCTGCACTTCTTCTGTGCATCACAAGAGTGCAGTTCGTTCTGCACTCATGTGAACTGTTTCAGCTGACAGCAAGCTGAAGCCCACTGTCAGCTGACATTACTCAGCCGGTCCAGGCTGGGGAAAGATCGGGACCCTTCCCAGAGTCTGGAGCAGCACCTGGTTAAGCCTGTCATTGAAGAGCCAAGAGCCTGAGCCAGCCGTTGCCTCCCCCTCCACAGCCCAGTGATCCAGTGAGCGCTGGAGGGGCAGAACAGAAAGCAGTGACTGACAGTCACCGCTCTCTGCTCAGAGCGGAGAGGAGAACTCAGCGACCAGCGGTCATGTGATCACTGAGTTCTCACCCTTAGAGCTGACAGGGAACAGATGCAGCATCTGACCGACCTATCGCATCTGACCGACCTATCGGAGGTGACTATAAATAATGGGGAAAAAAGTCCTACTTCTCTTTTAAGGTAAATAGGCTGTTCACTTTGCAAGGGAATCCTATGCAGAGTTTAGTGTGATGAAATTTCACTTTGCAAAAAATATCCAATCACAGGCAAGGAAAATAAAAAAACTGCATTTTTGCTTGCACATGATTGGATTAAATAAGTCAGCAGAGCTTCAGCTCATTCACTAAGCTCTGGGGTAAGTTTCCTTGACCAATCTATTTGTCTTGAGTAAAGCAACACCAGTGAATATGCAATAAACAGCAGTGTATCCAGGTTCCAAACTGGCAATTGTGTCTGTTTTCCCTGGCAGCTTTCTAATACACCTTATATTCTGTTTCCCACATTCAAGCCAGGCTTTAAAGATCAGTCTGAATCCAGTATTTTTCTTTCTGCTTTATATTGAAGGATAAGTAGCTTGGAATTAGCCCTTGTGCAATAAAGAACAGCAGATGGCAGAAATTCAAAGTCAGCTCTGAAAAAAAAAAACATTAATAGAATATGTACTTTCTTTGTTTGATCAATGTTCTCCTCGGTGCACACTGCATGCTTGCTTAGTGAAATGAGCAAAACTACATTAGTGTCAACATCATCATAGCTAATCACCAAGGAAATGACTTTATGAAATCTTCTAATTCACTTTTCTCTCCATTCCCCAAGTGACAGGATTAGTGATCACATAAGCTTAGTTCTGACAACTCATCCTCCCTGAAAAGATTAAAC